CACACACACACACACACACACACACACACACACACACACACACACACATAATATCAGGGGCGAATAATGCAAAACATGTACTTTGTGGGAATTAAGAGCCAGAATTCATACAAGTTAATTTGGACAAATAACTATGTATAACTATCCAGATAACATAAATCATATACATACGGATGTAGCATCCATCACTCACATACAAAACACACGTCGGAGTAGCCTCTCAGATGAATGCTCTTGAATACGTATATATAGTTCATCAGCAAACCACCATATGTGTGAGCCTAAAGCTGGTTCGTCAATTTGACTGCATGAAGTCGGCGAACACGCAGTATCATAGGAAACGTTCCTCGCAGATGTAAACGCGTCTAGTGTTGTTGTTGTTGTGCGCCACTGTACTACACAGCTGATCGAATGCTCCACGCTACCAACTACTACAGCCTTCCACAGCACACCACGGTTACTGCATCCTTTTTTTTTATCTCGTTATCCTTTAGTCGGACACCGACATCGTAGCTGTGCTACTGATTTACGCGTAGAAGAAAGTAGGGGGAACAACTATACTGGCAGGCGAGTGAACTGTTCTCTGATACGCTCGCGAAGTTTCCTCTCCAACCTATCGCGTGGACCGCTACGCTCACAAAGGACGAAACGACAGCGGCATATAGGGGAGGAGGGTCCGACGTTAGAGAAGAAAGGAAAGGATCGAGAGCACCTGACATAACACTGGGGATGGAAAAGGATAACCGTAGCCATGGGAAAGAAAGGGGGACGTAGGGGCCAAGGCTAGGCGGAAGGGGGGACGTGGAAGGTGAAGCTATAGGGAATGGGAAAGGGAAGGGGAAGTGGAAGGGGAAGCAGAAGCGGAAAGAGAGGGGAATGAAAAAGGGATGGACGAAAAGAGGGAAGGGGAACAATGGCTGGGGATAAGCGCAAGGGGAACCACGTCCCCCCGTTATGAAAGAATCGAGGCTGGCGAAGAGGGAGGGGGACCGACGTTGGAAAAAATGGGGAAGGGTGAACCGAAGGTGAAGGAGGCTGAAGCTCTGATTGTGGAATTTTACATCAATTTATCACGGTCAAGAGTGAATGCGAGTCAAAGAAAAAAATGTTGTTGAAAAAGATGGCGACCGCGAGAGGAAAAAAATGGCGAGAGAATGAAAGACAAAGAGGGAATGCGAGATAGGGGTGACACGAGTGAAATCTCATGAGAAGGGAGGGTCTAAAAATCATATTTCCTCAGTCGATATAACTCCTTCGCTGATTCAAACACGCTGCAACATGCCTCGGCTTCCCCCGCGCACTATGGTTTTGTACGTATATCGCTGTTAATTTTAAAATCTATATATTGACTTTGCCCTAATTAGTTCAGTGACCGCGTAACAGCAGCAGCTGTGTCGCCCTACGTATATAGTATGGCAAATGTTGGGTCGGAAGTTGTCTATCGTGCTCACAGCTCTGGTGAATGAGGAATAGTGGCATCAAAGCAGTGACATGCAGCTAGGTTTCTCTGCAGATCCTATACATAGAGATCTGTAATTGCTGCTAAATTAACATCCTATAATCATAAATAAACCCCTTGCATCCGACCTATATCCGACTGCCCGGGTCGTGCTTTATTAGCGCATGTTATTTCACGTGTTTTCCGTGTTCACGTGTTTTTGGATAAGGAAAATAAGGATGTGAAGTTACTCGGAGCGCAATGAAAGTAGATACTGTACACCTGCTTCATATTAATCAGGAGTGTATATCTATATATCATATGTCCAGTGTGTTAGCCAGAGACCCGTCTACCCGCGTCTTTTGGACGGCCTATGCTTGGATGAGACGGATGAAATTGGATAGAGACGGCATGAGGGCGGCCCAATTATACCCCTGCATGAAAACAAAATCGTCGGTTTTTCCCTCTAGGGCGCTTCGCGCCTGCAGCATCTTCGCTTCGCTCAGATGGTGAGACTCCCTGATTTGTTTTCCCTGGCTAACACCCTGCATATGTCTATGTATGTATATATGTATATATGTATATATCTATATATGTATATATCTATATATGTATATATCTATATACTAGACTAGTCTATATTATACACTCCTGAAATAATTACATCGTGAGTTCTCAAAGATTTATATCAGCACTATATTGACGATCAGGAAAGAAATATCGCCCTGTAGATCAATGTTAGCTTAGCCATATATGGTGAAATGGCTTGCTATTTTTTGTAATAGCTGAGATCCTGGCAGTGGTTATCTCGTTTCGCCGGGGTGCTTGACCTCCAGGCAGGTATATACCCCGCTGACGTTAAAGCGAAGGTAATGATACCATGAATACTGCATATACAACACACGCGCGCAAACGCACACGCTATCAACCCGCATGCACGTACACGTACGAACGAACACGAGCATCTAGCAATAACAATACATCATTTCGCTAATTTTTCCTTTGCTATATCTATATTGTAACTACTTTCCCTGCGATTTTACTCTATTCTTTCCTAAAATATCTCCTGCAGTTTTTTCCCCATTTTTTCCGCAATGCCGCTAATTTACATAACATTTGCCTCAGAACTTACAGTTATTAACTAGATTAACTAACTAATTAATTAACTTAATTAACTAGATTATCGCGAAATCACGGATGAAACAAGTTCGAGCGAAAATATTTCATAGGAAAAAGTTCTGTTCTAAAACGCATTCGTACCTTTCAAATCAGCGTATGATATTGCCTTGCCTTGCCCCCGTACCACACAACGTGCGAAAGAATATCTGAGCACACCGATCGCTCTCGTCGTCATTCCTGCCAGATGTAGGTATCTCTCACTCCGTCTGTATAGTCCTCGTATATTACACACCGTGGAAGCTGCGCAAAGGCTATCACAACAAACGAGAACAACCTCACGCTAGTATCCTTTTACCGCAACAAACGAGAACAACCTCACGCTAGTATCCTTTTACCGCAACAAACGAGAACAACCTCACGCTAGTATCCTTTTACGGCGACCAGCCAACACAGAGCTGAAACTGCAGGTGCAACGTTCCTCCGCTGTCGCCAAACAAGGGTTTACTCGTGTACGGACGAGCAGCGAGAGCTAACCACGTACGGATGTGAGCGTAGCACGGTAGCAGCAGTAGCAGCAGCAGCACGGGAGCATGACGCGAGTAATAATATTGACTCCTCGTTCAGCTGTTCTCGTTTCCAGCAGCAGCAGCCAGCCAAGGCTCAGCTGAGACCCGTCAGTCATCGAATACCTTCACACGCGAGTATATGTGTATCGATCGAGTGAGAGAGTGTACGTACGGTCACTGTGGTACGGTCAGCGTACGTTTGCATCGGAGTGTGTCCACTATACGTCGTGCCCCGCGGGCGCAGTGCAATTATGCACCCAACCTACATGTAAGTAACACGGCAGGGGGAGAACGTATTACCTACTTCTCTCTCCACACGTGTGTGTAAATGTATTCCAAGGATAAAGAGCCCATTCTACGAAGTCGGAACTGCTGTACGTGAGCCGGCGACCTAGTTTCATTGATAGTAGTGACGTTCTGTGTAACGCAGAGGGACCGCGGTGGGCTGTGGCTGGGGTATATATATATATATATATATATATATATATATATGATATATATATATATATTGCGTGATGCAGATGGGTAGGTAGATGAAGCAACAAACGTATTATACCGCAGGTGAGCGGTTGTTCCTCCTATACACACACATACATACATGTACATCAAGAGTCCATACTAGAAGATGGACTATTGACAATTGGATTTTCTATTATGGACTCTTGATGTACATACATACACACATAACGCGATCAGAACAGCCCAGGTTTTTCATTTGGGGCGCGATTTACTCCTATACTACGTAGGCAAGTCAAGTGGTACGATATTATATATATATATATATATATATATATATATATATATACATATCAGGAGTAGATAATAGGAGTTCCCTATTATCTACTTCTGATACATATATATATATAGTATAATAGTAAGAAGAACGTAGCTACATAATATATCGAGCCCCCGTCGTGTGCTGAGCAATGTGAGCATGACGCATAGGATATATATAGAAGCGCGAACGTGAAACAATTTCTAATATCAATAGCCTCCCTTCCCTCCGTTCCGGAGTCGGATCTCTCTCGACGGTACCGTTGCATTTTTTATTTTTTATTTGTAAAATTAATCAAATGTTTATCTGCATTTTGAAAACCATTACTGAATAGTGCGACGGCGTCGCAAAGCACTGGATCTTCATAGTTATTGCCATCATCACCATGATCATCGTCGTCATATGCATCATCATAATCACAGCATCAATACTAATTACTTAATTAGCAGGGGCCGCATCGGTTTATTTTCCAAGAGCTCATCATCTTCCCTGCACTCGTCAACACTCGCGAGCTAGCGGTTGTACCCATAGAAATTTATAGAGACACGATTCTAATAGAGACGCATATAGAGTCTAAGTAGTATTATATTCTTTCTATCAAGAGCGTATTAAGTATCTTGTTTAAATGCTAAGCGCTCCTGTTTCTATGGTTGCACCCTTCACAGACACGCAACAGTCGAGCTACTCGATGCGGCAAGCGTCCTTCTTCATTCAACTCACATATTTGATCGACGTCCACACGCGCTAGTAAGCCATGTCAAGGATGTTACTATTTATATAGCTATTACAGTTATATGGCATCGTCTCCACCTCGGTTTACGGGTGAGCAACGACCTCGAGGTCTGACCTATGTCGTGGTAGCTAGTGAAACTCGTTATTCAACGAATAACAAGCGAGTGTTGACACACTACGCACTCGATTATAAGATAGTCAGGGGTAGTTAGTGACGCTCAAGGGGTCGTTGTCGTAACAGGTACTACAGATATGTACCCGAAGTACATATATGTATACACAAAGTGTACCAGACTTGTACTACAGAAGTGTACCCTAACCCTAACACAAACCCTAACCCTAACCCTAACTCTAACCCTAACCCTAACCCTAACCCTAAACATACCTCATATAAAAATATAAACATAATACTAAACAACCTAAAACTACCTCGGGTACATATCTGTAGTACCTGTTACGACAACGACCCTTCGTGCGTTAGTGACTCGTGCATAATGCTAGAGTACGCGCTCCATACGGGTATAATAGCCAACAGGTGGCGGATGGCCTTCGTTCCGTACGAGTGCGGCCCGTTCGTGACTGTAATGATCTAGAATGTTTTCTGGACAAAGGTGTTTTGGTGGATGGCAAGCGCTGTAAAAATGTTGCGTTGCGCCCATAGGAGCAATACATTAGTTGGTGAGTTTATATGGTTGTACTTGGCTTGGGTGGATGGGTGGGTTGGTGGGTTGGTGGGTATGGATGGATGGATGGATGGACGGACGGACGGACGGACGGACGAACGGACGGACGGACGAACGGACGGACGGACGGAGGGTGGGTGGATAACAGTAACTACCAATCGCCGATTATGAATCGATTAGCATTTAGCATTCACTGGCAGGTTCCATACACATGCAGCTCGTGACACACATTAGATGAATATACACACACGGCAAGACTGCCTCGGGAAATAGGCCAGAGATGTAGTATTGGCAGCAAATCATTAGCATTTCAATCACAAGTGAGAAAATCAACGAAAGTAATTGCGTAAGACCACACTCTGCTGTAGCGAAAAAGCCCGCACCTTAACGAGGGATGTACTCTAGTTTCGGTCACCTTGAGCTTTTAGCCTTCCAAGCACAGAAAGAATAGCAGCACGTAGTGTGACACTGTTAAGGTTTTTTGTGCTTACGTGCTTTAGGTTGCTTGTGCGCGTGTGTGCTCCTTAAAGTGATTACGTCACCGTAAATAGTAAAAGTAAAAAAATTAAGTCCACAGTGATTCTGTTTACTTTTCATGGTTAAATTGATACATTACATTTCCTATTTCGCTATTCCGTTTGATGTGAACAAACAATCGTGACTCATACATAGCCCATAGCAAGCATTTAATGTCGTGATCAATATATCAAATCGCCCAGTTTTTTGTATTTTTAATTAGTTGAAAAACAATCTTATTAGGTAAGAATTTGAGGATACAATTAATGCCGCTAATTTTTTTTACAAATATACACCATAGAAAATTCGTGACGTAGTCAATTTAAATTTGCACCTTTGCTTGTGTGTACCTCTCTGTTTGAGTTTGTGTTGCTGTGCGTGCGTGTGTGTGCGTGCATGTGTGTGAGGAGGGGGGGGCGTGCATGTGCTCACCCAATTCTCGCAGCATTGGGCGTACATCCTATCTTGTTCTCCGTGTTACCACTTACTACTTACATTCCTTAGCATTGCTAAAGTCCTGTTTGCATTCTGTCATTTAGAATCTCAAACAGTCACGGTCAAGGAAACGTAACAATGTCCGGGAATATAAATGGATTTCCGTCACACACAACGTAGTGGCTAATACACGTACCTGATTTTCTACAGTAAGATAATATGAAAAGAAATATGTTTTATCTTATTCTAGAACAATTTAATATTTAAAATTTACGGTCATTTATATTGCAAGTCACTCCCTTCAAAACTAAAAACATGAATAGAAGCTATACAAGTCTAAATAGAAATACTAGTTTTTAAAATAAAAACAATACTCCCATAAATAAGAAACATTAATAGTAAAAGGGAAAATTCGCTATGTAACATGCGAGGAACTTTTGTAAATAAAAAAATAAGTCTCCAAACAGAAAATTTCATGTATTAAATAGAAAACTTACGGTACACAATGTGCAGCGCTTCTGTAAACAAAAACAACTCAATTTGCGATGGAAACAGTACGCGCATAAACGGAAAACACCAAGAGTAAAATAGAAAACTTTCTATAGCAAATGCGCCCTATTTGAATGAATAGCAGAATCCGAAATGTAAACAATGCGGCGGCCCATAAACAGAAAACACCAACGGTAAAACGTGTAGGTGTGAAAAGATGGGGTAGAGTAAGCAGAGAGAGAGAGAGAGAGAGAGAGAGAGAGAGAGAGAGAGAG